AAGATTAAAAAACTGGTATATTTTTGTGGCTAGGGCTTTGTTATATCAAGAATGGTGTGCTCTGAGGAAAGTCCCATCGGGTCATGCTTATTGCTGTTGGTCACTGTCAGAATGGGGAGATAATAAAAGTGTCCTGAACCCACTTACAATAAAGGATTTCCAAGCCAAGGAAGGCCTTTCCAAGGTCTGTATCACATAGGTCCTGCTTCTCTATTAATATGCAGCACTGGAGGAAATGAGCTCCTTTCCTGATGGGTGTGGTTAGGATTTCTGGTTACTCTGCAAGAAGAACAATCCAAAATCCCATGGACTTGAAAATTCCAAGAAAGAATCAAGGGTAGGATGGTATGGTGGTGGTCTTCCTACTGAGCTGTGGAAATCACAGTTGCAAACTCAGGCAGGTAGCACTAAAAGGAAGAAAAAAGAATTAAGAAGCTCAATTTCTTGGAGGTTTCTCATCTTTTCCTTTTCCAGACTGCCTGAAAATAATACTGAAAGCAACCCTCTCGCTAGAACTTTGCCACCTTTGTTCCTTCCAGAGAAACTAAAGAAGTAGTGAGGCAGGAGCCAACATTGTTTGGGATTTCTGAATGTAATACAACTGAAGTAAAACTGCATTCTTCCTTTAGTCCCCTGAAGAAAAACCCTGAAAGTGAAATAAATAGAGAAATGAAAAATACTAGAAACTTAACCCTTTCTTGAATGTTCAGGCAGAAAATTAGAGATTACTTCTAGACTGCAGGTGGGAGAACCCCCAAATTTGTTTAGTTATTTTAAAAAATAAATACTAATTTATTTTGAGCTGCTATAAGCTAAAAAGAACAAGTGCCAAATCTAACTGACATTGAAAAAGAACGAAAGAAAGAAAAAACCCTGCCAGTCCCTATTAGTTCTAGTACCTTTCCCTCTTCTTGCCACAATACTTTTGCCTGATTGGCATTGTATCAGTGTAAGTGACGTCATTGAAATGCAAACTAGCAGCATGAGAAAAATGCCAAGTTTCCTTGGAGGATCATGAGCCCCAAAGTTGTGCAGTTTTCTGAAGAATGTCAGGAAAGGGAGACTCAATATTGCAGAAAGACCCCCTTCAAAATCACAGGAAACAAATTCTTTGAATTAGGAAGGACTAGTTATCTGATGGATATAAATTTTGTGAGGCTTCATATATTTCCATTTGTTGACAAAGAGAATACTATTTCCCTAGGGTACCCTAAACTGTTAATGGAGCAACACAGGTATAAACAAGTATATGAATAAAAATACAAACTTTCTTTTTTGTTTCTTCCCCTGGCAACAACAGCATGCTTGGCTGTTGAGTTGGCTCTTGGGTCACAGTTGAATAGTATTTCCTTTTTGTCCTTTGGAACTAAAAGTTTGACCTGTGAGCAGTAGTTCCCAACCCTGGAAGATCTGCTGGATTACTTTGGGGATAGCTTTTGAAAACTGTAACCATTGTGTTCCACCTTAGACCTGCTGGGGGAATGAGAGTGAGGCACAGACATCTGTGTCTTAAAAAGCTTCTCAAGTGACTCTAGGGAAATCCAAGTGTCTAAATGTCTAGAGGTGCCATGGAAGGGTAGGCTAGGGACCTCTCTGAGATGCTAGAAATACTTCTGTAGAATGTGGGGTGTGTGTGTGTGTGTGTGTGTGTGTGTGTGTGTGTGTCTGCATGTGTGTGTGTGTTTACAGAGAAGTGAGAAGAAAGAAGAATGGAATGTAGTCAGTTATGTCCTGGGATGTATAGAAGAAAGATAAAACTTTACCTTGCACCTCACAGAAGTCCTTACGAAACAATTACCATTTCAAAAATCTCTCTCTCTCTCTCTCTGTTTTTGTTTTGAGAAAGAGAGAATCTCATTCTGCACCCAGGCTGGAGTGCAATGGCGTGACCTAAGCTCACTGCAGCTTCCGCCTCCCAGGTTAAAGTGATTCTCCTGCCTCAGTCTCCTGAGTAGCTGGGAGTACATGCGCCTATCACCATGCCTGGCTAATTTTTGCATTTTTTAGTAGAGATGGAGTTTTACCGTGTTGCTCAGGCTGGTCTTGAACTCCTGACCTCAGTTGATCCATCTGCCTCGGCTTCCTAAAGTGCTAGGATTACAAGCATGAGCCACTGCACTGGTCCCCATTTCAGAAATCTCTTGATTCTGGACTTGATCTGAGAAAGAAGGAAAGGAAACCCAAGTAGCTTTTATGGAATGCCTACAATGCATCTAATACTATGCTAGGTGTATGAGTTCATTCATTTATTAATTCAGTCATGAAGCACATCCTTCATGCAAAGTACTGTGCTAGCTATTGAGGTTACAAACACAAAAAAGACAGTCCTTATCTCTAAGGAGCCCACAGGTAATTGCTACCCAGAGAAACATATGCTATGATGAAAGGTGCTTGGGAGACTTTGGAAGCAGCTCTCGACTCAGACTATATGGGATGAGAGGGTGAGTCTAGGAAAATTTCCAAGAAGAGGTGGCACTTAGACTAAATCTTAAGTAATTTTGATTCTCGTATTTACTGCTGCAAATAGTGTAGTATGGTTTGGTAGGGAGAGCTAGAGAAAAGGATAGAAAGGGGCCGGGGTAGGGGGAGGAGCCAGAGATGAGACTGGAGAGGCAGGTGTGCTGGAACCAGGTAATAAGTTGCCTTAACTTTTTCCCCAGATGCAGAAGGAGATACTAGAGTCAAAGCAGGCAATGACAGGCTGAGAAGGCACAGTACGGTGGCAGCAAAGGGAACACATTAGGAAATGGTGAGGCTGGGCATGGGAGCCTGATAATCTGAGATGAAGCAGTGGAAATGAGAATAGAGAGGAAGGAGTTGATGAGAGTTGGTGATCAGTTGTTTGTGGATAGGAAAAAAGAGAAGTCAAGAATAGTGTCTAAGTTTCTTTTTCGGCAGCTGGATGAATCATGGTGCCATTCATCATTTATTATTTGCTTTAATATAGTTCTTTGTTTTGCCTTTATAATAAACTTATGCCTTATTTATTATATCTATCATCTATCTATCTATCTATCTATCTCTCTATCTATCTATCTATCTAGGGGCAGGGTCTTGCTCTGTTGCCAAGCTGGAGTGCAGTGGCATGATCATAGCTCAATGTAGCCTTGAACTCCTGGGCTCAAGCAATCCTCCTGCCTCACTCTCCTGAGTACCTGGGACTACAGGCATGCCACCATGCCCAGGTAATGTTTTAATTTTTGTTTTGTGTAGAGATGGGGTCTTTCTTTGTTGCCCACGCTAATCTTGAACTACTGGCCTCAAGTGATTCTCTCACCTCAGCCTCCCAAAGCACTGGGATTACAGGCATGAGCCAACATGCCTAGACCCTTATGCCATTTTTCATACAGACAGGAAAGTTCTGAGAGATCAAACAGAAAAAAAGGAGGAAAGTTCCAGCTCTCCAGCTTGTACATTGGGAGCTAGGATCCAAATTCAGGTCAGCTCGATTTCTCAGAGAATGCCTTCAATGCCCCAGGCAAAAGTGAAACTTAAGGCTAAACAGAAAGAAAATGTCTCTGAGTAGGCTACATTCACAATAGAAACAAGATGAGCTAAGATTGGAAAAGTAGAATACCAACACTTGAAATGTATTCTTGACTGTAGTTAGCATGGTGAGATATGACCTCCTTTTTGACAAGGTAGTCAATGGTTTTGTTTTTTTTTTCCCCAATGCTGTGCAACCTTTTTATATCTCAGTGATAGCAAATAAAATTGAACCAAGATTTTAAAAAAGAAAATAAGTTGCTGTTAAAAATGTCCTTATAAAAAAAAGTAAAATGAAGCCTCTTAACCTTTGCTTCAGAGGTTTGCTTATTCCGCCTCTGGAAATAATTTGTTTAAAAACAATCATCATCGATGATAGACTAGAGAAGGAAAATGTGGCACATATACACCATGGAATATTATGCAGCCATCAAAAATGATGAGTTCGTGTCCTTTGTAGGGACATAGATGAACCTGGAAGCCATCATTCTCAGCAAACTGACACAGGAGCAGAAAATCAAACACTGCATGTTCTCACTCATAGGTGGGTGTTGAACAATGAGAACACATGGACACAGGGAGGGGAGCACTACACACTGGGGTCTGTTGGAGGGAAATAGGGGAGGGAAAGCGGGGGGTTGGGAGTTGGGGAGGGGATGGCATGGGGAGAAATGCCAGATATAGGTGAAGGGGAGGAAGGCAGCAAATCAGACTGCCACGTGTATACCTATGCAACAATCTTGCATGTTCTTCACATGTACCCCAAAACCTAAAATGCAATAAATAAATAAATAAATAAATAAAAACAATCATCTCACTGGGGTAGTTTAATAAATATTTAAAAATTTTTGATGGAAAACTAGATTTTTACCTAGAATCTTCTATTATAGTAATGAGACATGATACTTTAAAGGGAGTAACTTGTGTATCTGTGCTTTCTAAGTCAAAGGGTTATGCAGAAGACTCCATGATGTCAGGCCACTGACAATTATTCCGCCATTTAAATCTACCAGACCAATGTATAGCTCATCCCTGTAGCCCCCAGGTACACATTTGGCTGTTTCATGGTATGGTCTAACACTGAATTTCTGCTGTTTCTTTGGCCAACACTGAATTTAGTCTATGTGTCTACTATCTTTGAAATTACTTTTGCCTTTCAGTTTTGGGGAAACAGCTTCCTTTTTAGTAGAATAGGATATTGCTCCTTTGTAATAATCCTAGGATCCACTTATCCATGCTTCGAGTTGGCTGCATACTAAAGAAAGGTTTAATTTTGATTTGCCTTCTGTATTTATTTCCCCTGAAACTTATCTTTATCCAACTCATCCAACTTGTCTCCCTAACCATACTTTCCCTCTTCCACTCAAAGAGAAAATCCCCATTCAAGAATTAAATTTGTTAGTTTGAACAGTTTGTTGGTTTGTCACTCAATTTCTTGAGGCTTCAACTTGCCAGGGCCTGCAGTGGGGCTCCCAACACTTCAGTTTCCCCATATGTTGGATTGCCTTCACTCACCTTGAGAGATGACTGTGAGGCATAGCTCATAAATGTCATCATAAACTGCTCTGCAAAAGTATGTCTCAACGTCTGTGATTCCAGATTCAGAAGGGCTCAATTATGTGTATCTGGTCAAAAAAAAAAAAAAAAAAAAGGTAGAGGGTGGCCTTTTGATGCTGGACAGCATGGTGAGGAGCTGCCAATCTTCAAGTCTCCCATGGCGGTCTGAACTGCATTTGCTGCAGCTGTCCTTACTAGCAGCAAATGTTCTAGCATTCTCTCCTATTAACAGCAGTTGACAGTTCTGCAGGTAAGTTCTTTTTCTTTTACCTTAGTTAGTTGGTAATGTCCCTTTCCCCCATTCTCAAGAGGAGGAATTTTGAGACAGTAACTCCACCCTTCCATAGCAGGTCACATAAAATGCCTAGACGCTATCCTCCCCCCATGGGCAGCTGGCCTATTTATGCAAGAGAACAATAAGAAGATGGTTTCTTTGCTTCTATTTCTTTGGCAATGTGAGAGAAGGAGGTGGCTGAAGCCAGACACATTGGCTCCACACACATGCCTGAGCCTCTTTCAAAGTCTCACCCTATTGAGTAACAAGAAGGCAACTGTCTCCATATTAACACCACCAATGACGATGTTGTAACTGGATTGGCTAGTTTTCTTCATTGAAACCTGGCTTAACGGGTGTGTCTCTGTGTCTGCAAAACATAAATGGAAAGAACTGAAAGGGAAAAGAGAGAAAAGTGAAATCACTCCTTTCTTGGCAAAGAAAACAAAAAGATTCCATTTTAATGAACAAAGCCAATTGCCACTATAGCTGAACAAGGAGCTATTAATAGTTTGAGACACTATCATTTAAATGTAGGGGTCTTTGAATCTGTAAAACTCAGCCACATGCAAAAGGAACTATCCAGGTAACTGTTAATTTATCATTCAGGCCAAATGCACTTTCCACCTTTACTTTCAAATTCTTCTGCAGTGCTAGAGCTTCTGGCACACCTACTATTGCAGGAACTTTTCTGTCTCCTTATCTTTTTGCTGGCTAATCTGTTTACTTGAAATGCCCTTCCAGTCTTTTTATACCTGAGGAATACATAGTCACTTTCTAATTCCACTTCAAAATTCTTCCCTACCTCTTCTGCATCCCCAGGCAGAACTGGTTACTCATGAGGAGCTCTATTTAAATTAAGATTAACATTGGCACATTTGATTACCCCTTGGGATTCTGACTTTCTCGAGTTTAGAAACTGTTTTTTTCATTTCTTTATTCTCAGTGCTTTTTGTGGTTCTGCACAGTAGCAGATATAAAATAAGCTTTGCTCTAGCCATATGGTGGAAACCTTTAGTTGTCTGGATTTTAGTTATGATGATATCTGTTAATGATAAAATCTGATTTTTAACACATGCTCTGGATTTTTGGCTTCATTTGGTTTTCCTGTTATCATACAACCTAAGGGTGAATGCAAAGCATCTATATTGCTTCAAAAAAGTTGTACTCAAGTCAGCAATATCTTCCTTTTAAGTAAAATATAAGACTTTTTACATTTTACCATGTAGGTGAAGGGATGAATAGGTTCAGACATGGCTGAGAAAGCCAGCGTAGGTTGAAAGCAAGGAAGAATGGGATCAAAAAAGAAAGGAGAGAGAGAGAGAAAAAGAGAGAAGGAGAAGGAAAGAAAGGAAAAGAAAAGAAAGAAAAGGAAGGGAGGAAGGAAAGAGTGAGTAAATCAACAAAACATACACAATAATTTATAATACTGATACCTGGAGATAACCACTGTTACCATATTCGTTGACTCATTCACTCAAGAAATATTTGTTAAGGGGGATATACAAGATGGCCAAATAGGAACAGCTCCGGAGTGCAGTTCCCAGTGAGAATAGCACAGAGGGTGAGTGCTCACTGCATTTCCAAACAAGTTTTCACTGCCCACAGACCAGGAGATTCCCAGGCTGAAAAGCGGCATGAGTTTTCAGTGTGGTGGTTTCAGCTGGTGCAACATTGGCGCACAGAAACTCACACAAGTCTGGATGGCCGTTTCGACTGGCGCCTGGAATGCCTGGGAGACAGAGCCACCCATTCAACTGAAAGGGAGGGGGCTGAGACAAGGAGCCAGGAGATCTGGCTTGGCGGGTAAGACCCCCACAAAACAAGTAATCTGAAATGCTCTGGATTGAGACTTTCCCAGTGCAGCTGGACCCAGGAACATTCAACTCAGTGGAGGGAAGGGCGTCCCCCACTACTGAGGCAGTCCGCCACTACCGAGGCAGTTCACACAGCAGCTGGGCAGAGCCTGTGGCAGCTCAGCAATGCCTCTGCTGGCAGACTGTGACTAGACTACTCCATGTAGGTCAGGACATCTATGAAAAAAGGCAGCAGCACAACAGGAACTTATAAATAAAGCCAAACTTCCTAGGACAGAGCACTTGGGAAAAGAAGTGGTTATGAGTTCTGCTGCAGCAGACTTAAAGGTACCTGCCCTGCAGCTCTGCACAGAACAGCAGAGCTCCCAGCACAGCACTTGGGCTCCTATAAGGGACAGACTGTCTCCTCAAGCAACGCCCCAACCCCTGTATACCCAAAGAGACACCTCATAAAGGAGAGCTCAGGCTGACATCTGGCAGGTACCCATCTGGGACGAGGACAGCAGAGGAAGAAATTGGTGGCAACCCTTGCTGTTCTGCAGCCCCTGCAGGTGATTCCCAGGAGAGCTGGGTCTGGAGTGGACCTCCAGTGGTCCTGCAGCAGAGAGGCCTGACTGTTTGAAGGAAAACTAAGCAGCAGAAAGAAATAGCTTCAACATCAACAAAAAGGATGTCCACTCAGAGACCCCATCTGAAAGTCACCAACTACAAAGACCACATGTAGATAAAACCACTAAGATGGGAAGAAACCAGCACAAAAAGGATGAAAACACCAAAAACCAGAACGCCTCTCCTCCTCCAAGGGATCACAACTCCTCACCAGCTAGGGATCAAAGATGGATGGAGAATGAATCTGATGAATTGACCGAAACAGGCTTCAGAAGGTGGGTAATAACAAACTTCTCTAAGCTAAAAGAACATGTGCTAACCCAATTCAAAGAAACTAAGAGCCTAGAAAAAAGGTTAGATGAGATGCTAACTAGAATAAAGAGCTTAGAGAAGAATATAAATGACTTAATGGAGCTGAAAAACACAGCATGAGAACTTCGCAAAGCATATACAAGTCTTAATAGCCAAATTGACAATGCAGAAGAAAGGATATGAGATTGAAGATCAACTCAATGAAATAAAACGAGAAGGCAAGAATAGAGAAAAAGAGTGAAAAGAAATGAACAAAGCCTCCAAGAAATATGGGATTATGTGAAAAGACTTAATCAATGTTTGATAGGTATACCTGAATGTGATGGAGAGAATGAATCCAAGCTGGAAAACACTCTTCAGGATATTATCCAGGAGGACTTCCCCAACCTAGCAAGGCAGGCCAACATTCAAGTCCAGGAAATACAGAGAACACCACAAAGATATTCCTCAAGAGCAACCCCAAGGTATATGATTGTCAGATTCACCAGGGCTGAAATGAAGAAAAAAATGCAAAGAGCAGCAAGAAAGAAAGGTTGGGTTACCCACAAAGGGAAACCCATCAGACTCACAGTGGATCTCTTGGCAGAAACCCTACAAGCCAGAAGACAGTGGGGGCCAATATTCAAAATCCTTAAAGAAAAGAACTTTCAACCTAGAATTTCATATCCAGCCAAATTAAGCTTCATAAGCAAAGGAGAAAGAAAATCCTTTATGGATAAGCAATTTCTGAGAGATTTTGTCACCACCAGTCCTGCCCTACAAGAGCTCCTGAAAGAAGCACTAAACAGGGAAAGAAACAACCAGTACCAGCCACTCCAAACATTTACCAAATGGTAAAGACCATCGACACAATGAAGAAAATGTGTCAACCAATGGGAAAAATATCCAGCTAGCATCAAAATGACAGGATCAAATTCACACATAACAATATTAACCTTAAATGTAAATGGACTAAATGCCCCCTTCAAAAGACACATATTGGCAAATTGGATAAAAAGTCAAACCCATCAGTGTGCTGTATTCAGGAAACCCATCTCACGTGTAAGGACACACAGAGGCTAAAAATAAAGGGATGGAGGAAGATTTATCCAAGCAAATGGAGAGCAAAAAAAAGCAGGAGTTACAATCCTAGTCTCTGATAAAACGGACTTGAAACCAACAAAGATCAAAAGAGACAAAGAAGGGCATTACATAATGGTAAAAGGATCAATGCATCAAGAAGAACTAATGATCCTAAATATATACACACCCAATACAGGAGGATCCAGGTACATAAAGCAAGTTCTTAATGACCTACAAAGAGACTTAGACTCCCACACAATAATAGTGGCAGACTCTAACACTCCACTGTCAATACTAGACAGATCAATGAGGCAGAAAATTAACATGGATATCCAGGACTTGAAATCAGAGCTGGACCAAGCAGACCTAATAGACATCTACAGAAATCTCCATCCTAAATCCACAGATTATACATTCTTCTCAGCACCGCATGGCACCTACTCTAAAATTGACCACATAATTGGAAGTAAATCACTCCTCAGAAAATGCAAAAGAACAGAAATCATAAAAAACAGTCTCTCAGACAACAGTGAAATCAAATTAGAACTCAGAATTAAGAAACTAACTCAGAACTGCACAACTTCATGGAAATTGAACAACTGGCTCCTGAATGTTGACTGGATAAACAATGAAATGAAGGCAGAAATAAAGATGTTCTTTGAAACCAACGAGAATGAAGACACAACATACCAGAATCTCTGGGACACATTTAAAGCAGTGTCTAGAGGGAAATTTGTAGCTATAAATGCCCACCAGAGAAGTGAGGAAAGATCTAAAATCAACATCAACACCCTATTGTCAAAATTGAACGAGCTGGAGGAGGAAGATCAAAAAAAAAAAAAAAAGAAAAGAAACTCAAAAGCTAGCAGAATACAAGAAATAACTAAGATCAGAGCAGAACTGAAGGAGATAGAGACACAAAAAAACCCTTGAAAAAAATCAATAAATCCAGGAGCTGGTTTTTTGAAAAGATCAACAAAATATACCACTAGCCACATTAATAAAAAATAATACAAAGGGAGAAGAATCAAATGGATGCAATAAAAAATGATAAAGGGGATATCACCACTGACTCCACAGAAATACAAATTACAATCAGAGATTACTACAAACAACTCTATGCACATAAGCCATTAAACCTGGGAGAAATGGACAAATTCCTGGACACTTGCACCCTCCCAAGCCTAAACCAGGAAGAAGTCGAAACCCTGAATAGACCAATAACAAGGACTGAAGTTGGGGCAGCAATTAATAGCCTACCAAGCAAAAAAAGTCCAGGTCCAGATGGGTTCATGGCTGAATTCTACCAGGTGTACAAAGAGGAGCTGGAATCACTCCTTCTGAAACTATTCCAAACAACCTAAAAAGAGGGAATCCTTCTCAAATAATTTTATGAGACCAACATCATCCTGATACCAAAACCCAGCAGAGACTCAACAAAAAATGAAAACTTCAGGCCAATATCCATGATGAACATAGATGCAAAAATCTTCAATAAAATACTGGGAAACTGATTGCAACAGCGCATCAAAAAGCTTATTCATCATGATCAAGCAGGCTTCATTCCGGGGATGCAAGGCTGGTTCAACATACGCAAGTCTATAAACAGAATCCACCACATAAATAGAACCAAAGACAAAAACCACATGATTATTTCAATAGATGCAGAGAAGGCCTTCAACAAACTTCAACAGCCCTTTATCCTAAAGGCTCTCAATAAACTAGGTATCAAAGGAACATGTCTCAAAATAATAAAAGCTATTTACGATAAACCTACAGCCAATATCATACTGAATGGGCAAAAACTAGAAGCATTCCTTTTGAAATCTGGCACTAGACAAGGATGCCCTCTCTCACCACTCTTATTCAATATAGTATTGAAACTTCTAGCCAGAGCAATTAGGCAAGAAAAAAAAAAAAAAACCACAAAGATATTCAGTTAGGAAAAGAGGAAGTCAAATTGTCTCTATTTGCTGATGGCATGATTGTATATTTAGAAGAACCTATCATCTCGGCTCCAAATCTCCTTAAACTGATAAGCAACTTCAGCAAAGTCTCAGGATGCAAAATCAATGTGCAAAAATCACAAGTACTTCTATACACCAATAACAGACTAACAGAGAGCCAAATCATGAATGAACTCCCATGCACAGTTGCTACAAAGAGAATAAAATACCTAGGAATACAACTAACAAAGGATGTAAAGGACCTCTTCAAGGAGAACTACAAACCACTGCTCAAGGAAATAAGAGAGGACACAAACAGATGGAGAAACATTCCATGCTCATGGTTAGGAAGAATCAATCTCGTGAAAATAGCTGTACTGCCCAAGGTAATTTATAGATTCAACACTATCCGCATCAAGCTACCAATGACCTTCTTCACAGAACTGGAAAAAAAAACCACCTTAAACTTCAAATGGAACCAAAAGAGAGCCCACTTAGCCAAGACAATCCTAAGCAAAAAGAACAAAGCCTGAGGCATCACGCTACCTGATTTCAAACTATACTACAAA